ATTATGACTAAAGCCTTGAAACTTGATCAATTCGAAAAACTCAGAAACATGCTTGGAGTATTCAAGGCTGATGAAGTAAGCTAAAGCTTAAGGAAGGGATTGTTAGTTATTTTATGTTTACATGTCAATAACCATTCTTATCTATAGGATGGACTGGGTCAATATTCCGTTCTTTTATTCTTGTCTATAATGCTGTCATTCTGCATGTAAATCGGTATTCCGTTTTTGAGTCGGTTGCATCAGAGTCTGTAGGCTATAAAGCCATTATCTTTGCATTTGAATAATACTGCAGTTTTACGCACAACTGAATTTATAACAATCTGCATGGATGATAGCCTATTTTTTTAATTTTTTAATATACTATCGGTGATATCTAATCGATACTTGCTCAGATTTGTACACGTGTCAAATGTAGAGGTGTATTGTTTAAAAATAATCGATAGACAAATTGTTAATTAAAATGCGTTAACTTTATCGACGATGACACGGTGATACATAAGGGTGCTTGACACGTGTCAACTGGCTAAGCAGTATCGGTTGGTCTTGAGCAATAGCTTAATCGGTGGTCCAGCTGCGACAACTTTATCGCTTTCCAGAGTGCGATACAAGTGAGCATTTGCCACGTGTCCACATACACTGGTTGATACATTGAAAAAAAAAATCTAGCGAGATAACTGCAGTCTTCACGTTTTGCCTAACATTTGCGGAAGGAAGAAAGAGCTTAACATTTTGCACTGTTCGCATTTGCGTCAATCTGAAGGAAGAAAAAAAGGTTTACGTTTTGCACTCTTCACACATTTGCCTTGTATGCTGAAAAAACACAAAGCTTGACGTTCCTTTTTGCCTTAAGTTCGTGAAGCAAAAATTTTAGTGAACCCAGGTAACTTTAGTTTTTCCAGTATGCGTATTATTTTATTTATTGAGTTTAGATTTTTTTTGTTTAGATAAAATTTTATAATTTGTATTTGTTATGGAAAATTTTTTCTTTTATTTAGTAGTTAAAATAAACTTGAATAGTGTGATAGAAATATATATATATATATATAAGATAAAATAATGTATATAAACTATTATGATATTTGATTTTAATATGTTTGTAGTATTTTATTATGTATTAGTAATTTAAAAATTTGTATAAATTGTTGAAAAAAATTAAAAAACTGTGAGAAGAAATATAAAAATGATGTAAAATAATTTAACAGAAGTAATAAAATTATTTTGAAATTAAATTGATATAAAAAAATATGCCTGATTTGAGTAAAAATTTATAATCTTTATAAAATAAAATTTGGCATATAAAGTTATGTTTAATAAAATTCATTATAACCTGTTTGTAATAGGTTACGTTGTTTTTAATGCAAAAAATTTAAACAATTTAATGTTTAATTTATGATGATATTAAAATATAATTATACTAATTTTATTGTGTTAAAAAATTGTAAATTTTTTTTATATATTAATGCAATATTATTTAATAAAATGTATTTGGTGTTGCATTTGTGAATTTTTAATAAAATAAGTTTGGTTACGTAAATAGGCAAATATTTGTGATTATAGTTGATGCAGTATGTATGATGTAAAATGTAAATAATTTAAAAAAATTATTTATTTTGACTGATCAAGATTGTTGTTTGTGGATTTATTTTGTTAATGCAGAATGACTGATTTTGTGATAATAGTATATTGGAATAGTTGATTATTCTCAAATAACGAGGGTGTTACTTTTGAAGAAAATAATAAAATGATTAAAATTGAATGTGAAATTTGTTTTGAGACATTGAAAGGAAAGATTCATAAAAAATTAAAGTTGTTTACTAATCAGGTTTTATCTAGATTGATTTCACGATTTTTAGTAGACCTAATTGGTAGACAATACACAATGATGGATATATGTGATGATGAAGATATTGATTATATGTTAAGTGTCTTTTCACAACAAAATCAGAGAAGTGAAATTGAAGTATATGCAGATATTGCGTCAGGTGAAAGTTCTTGTATTCAATCAGAAGGTGTGAACTTAAATATTTCATTTTTACATGACATTACAAGTGAAGATGATGAACCTCATTTTGGATTAGGTATAGTAATATTTTTGGTTTAGGATTTATAATATTAAATTTCTTATAACTTATCTTTACGTTATAACAATTTTGATGGTTATGTAGAAAGTGAAAATAAGGATGAAGAAGGTGATGACAACGAAAATGAATGGGATTTCTCAACATATAGTTCATCTGATACTAACGTGGAGGGTGAATTTAATTCCATATTAAATAGTCATGAAAATGCACAACATGGAGGTAGTAATGTTTGTGGTTTGATTTATATGTTTCATGAAAAAAATTTGACAACTGTTGCATTTCGTTTTAATGCAGGCGTGATTGAAACTCCTTTTTGGAATTCAAGTCAAAATTATACTTATATTAATTAGGAACATGCTGATCAAGAATTGAAAAATTTAGATATTCATGTAGATGAAGCATGGAAGGAGGTTGATGCATTGTATGTTGGCCAAGTGTTTGACTCTAAAGATGATGTAAAAATGGCTATTAAACATTTTGCAATGAAGGCGCATCAAAGTTATTTTATTGTGGAATCAAAACCAACAAAATTATATGTAAAGTGTCCAAATCATACAAGTGGATGCCCTTGGAGAGTTAGAGCAACATTGGGCAAAAAGTACGACAAGTGAAAAATCACAAGATGTGGTGGAACACATACATGTGTTAATCTAATGATGTCTCTAGACCACAAAAAACTTGATTCAAACTTCATTAGCTCTTGTGTTCTTGGTAAGTTTCACTAAAGTAATTATAGATATTTATTTGAGGATTGTTAAATTTATTAAAGAACGTTACTAAATTTCATATTCTTAAATGTTGTAGGTATGGTAAAAGAACAACCATCGGTGCCAATCACATTAATCTAAGAAAGAATTAATGGTCAATTTGGTTATCAAGTTTCTTACAAGAAAGCATGGAAGGCAAAACAAAAAGCTATAGTAAGGGTTTTTGGTGATTGGGATGAATCATATGCGACATTGCCTAAATGGTTAGAATACATGCAATTACATGCACCTGGGTCTGTTTATAAGATTGAAACCAATTACTATGTGAGGGGTCACCAAGTTGACAATGGATACAAAGTATTTCATCGGTTATTTTGGTCATTTAGACAATGCATAAGTGCTTTCAATTTTTGCAAGCCTTTAATACAAGTTGATGGTACATTCTTGTATGGTAAATACCGACAAACTTTATTGATAGCTACCACTCAAGATGGAAATAACTATGTGCTTCCAATTGCATTTGCAATTGTGGAAGGGGAAACTTTGTCAGCATGAGAATGGTTTTTGGCTCTCATTCGTCTTCATGTTACAGATAAGGCAGGTATCTCTTTAATATCTGATAGACATCAAAGTATAAAAAGTGTAGTTTCTAATCAACATATTGGATGGCAACCTCCCAATGCATATCATGTGTATTGCATTCGTCATATAGCAAGCA